CCCAGACCTCAGAGGGGACCCTTCCTGAGAGGGGACCTGTCCTGAGAGGGGACCCTTCCTGAGAGGGGACCTGTCCTGAAAGGGGACCTGTCCTGAGAGGACCAGTCCGGAGAGAACCTGTCCTAAGGGACCAGTGCTGAGAAGGGACCTATCCTGAGAGGGGATCAGTCCTGAGAGGGGACCAGTCCTGAGAGAGGACCTGTCCTGAGAGAGGACCTGTCCTGAGAGAACCTGTCCTGAGGGGACCTATCCCGAGAGGGGACCAGTCCTGAGGGGAGCTGTCCTGAGAGGACCAGTCCTGAGAGGGGACCAGTCCTGAAAGATCAGTCCTGAGAGGGGACCAGTCCTGAGAGGACCTGTCCTGAGAGGGGACCAGTCCTGAGAGGGGACCAGTCCTGAGAGAGGATCTGTCCTGAGGGGAGCTGTCCTGAGAGGACCAGTCCTGAGAGGGGACCAGTCCTGAGAGAGGACCTGTCCTGAGAGGACTAGTCCTGACAGGTCCAGTCCTGAGAGGGGACCAGTCCTGAGGGGACCAGTCCTGAGAGGGGACCAGCCCTGAGGGGACCAGTCCTGAGAGGGGACCAGTCCTGAGGGGACCTGTCCTGAGAGGGGACCTGTCCTGAGAGGACCAGTCCTGACAGGTCCAGTGCTAAGAGGGGACGAGTCCTGAGAGGACCAGCTCTGAGAGGGGCCCTGCCCTGAGAGGGGACCAGTCCTGAGAGGGGACCTGTCCTGAGGGGACCAGTCCTCAGAGGACCAGTCCTGAGAGGGGACCTGTCCTGAGGGGACCAGTCCTGAGAGGGAAACTGTCCTGAGGGACTAGTCCTGAGAGGGGACTTATCCTGAGAGGACCAGTTCTGAGACGGGACCTGTCCTGATAGGGGACCTGTCCTGAGAGGACCTGTCCTGAGGGACCAGTCCTGAGAGGGGACCTGTCCTGAGAGGACCAGTCCTGAGAGGGGACCAGTCCTTAGAGAGGATCAGTCCTGAGAGGGGACCAGTCCTGAGAGGACCTGTCCTGAGAGGGGACCAGTCCTGAGAGGACCTGTCCTGAGAGGGGACCAGTCCTGAGAGAGGACCTGTCCTGAGAGGACTAGTCCTGACAGGTCCAGTCCTGAGAGGGGACCAGTCCTGAGGGGACCAGTCCTGAGAGGGGACCAGTCCTTAGAGAGGATCAGTCCTGAGAGGGGACCAGTCCTGAGAGGACCAGTCCTGAGAGGGGACCAGCCCTGAGGGGACCAGTCCTGAGAGGGGACCAGTCCTTAGAGAGGATCAGTCCTGAGAGGGGACCAGTCCTGAGAGAGGACCTGTCCTGAGAGGACTAGTCCTGACAGGTCCAATCCTGAGAGGGGACCAGTCCTGAGAGGACCTGTCCTGAGAGGGGACCAGTCCTGAGAGGACCTGTCCTGAGAGGGGACCAGTCCTGAGAGAGGACCTGTCCTGAGAGGACTAGTCCTGACAGGTCCAGTCCTGAGAGGGGACCAGTCCTGAGAGGACCAGTCCTGAGAGGGGACCAGTCCTTAGAGAGGATCAGTCCTGAGAGGGGACCAGTCCTGAGAGGGGACCAGTCCTGAGAGAGGACCTGTCCTGAGAGGACTAGTCCTGACAGGTCCAGTCCTGAGAGGGGACCAGTCCTGAGAGGACCAGTCCTGAGAGGGGACCAGTCCTGAGAGGACCTGTCCTGAGAGGACTAGTCCTGACAGGTCCAGTCCTGAGAGGGGACCAGTCCTGAGAGGACCAGTCCTGAGAGGGGACCAGTCCTGAGAGGACCTGTCCTGAGAGGACTAGTCCTGACAGGTCCAGTCCTGAGAGGGGACCAGTCCTGAGAGGACTAGTCCTGAGAGAGGACCTGTCCTGAGAGGACCTGTCCTGAGAGGGGGCCAGTCCTGAGAGGGGACCAGTCCTGAGAGGACCTGTCCTGAGAGGACTAGTCCTGACAGGTCCAGTCCTGAGAGGGGACCAGTCCTGAGAGGACCAGTCCTGAGAGGGGACCAGTCCTGAGAGGACCTGTCCTGAGAGGACTAGTCCTGACAGGTCCAGTCCTGAGAGGGGACCAGTCCTTAGAGAGGATCAGTCCTGAGAGGGGACCAGCCCTGAGAGGACCAGCCCTGAGAGGACCAGTCCTGAGAGGGGACCAGTCCTTAGAGAGGATCAGTCCTGAGAGGGGACCAGTCCTGAGAGGACCAGTCCTGAGAGGGGACCTGTCCTGAGAGGGGACCAGTCCTGAGAGAGGATCAGTCCTGAGAGGGGACCAGTCCTGAGAGGACCAGTCCTGAGAGGGGACCAGTCCTTAGAGAGGATCAGTCCTGAGAGGGGACCAGTCCTGAGAGGACCTGTCCTGAGAGGGGACCAGTCCTGAGAGGACCTGTCCTGAGAGGGGACCAGTCCTTAGAGAGGATCAGTCCTGAGAGGGGACCTGTCCTGAGAGGACCAGTCCTGAGAGGGGACCAGTCCTTAGAGAGGATCAGTCCTGAGAGGGGACCAGTCCTGAGAGGACCTGTCCTGAGAGGGGACCAGTCCTGAGAGAGGACCTGTCCTGAGAGGACTAGTCCTGACAGGTCCAGTCCTGAGAGGGGACCAGTCCTGAGGGGACCAGTCCTGAGAGGGGACCAGCCCTGAGGGGGACCAGTCCTGAGGGGACCTGTCCTGAGAGGGGACCAGTCCTGAGAGGACCAGTCCTGAGAGGGGACCAGTCCTGAGAGGGGACCAGTCCTTAGAGAGGATCAGTCCTGAGAGGGGACCAGTCCTGAGAGGACCTGTCCTGAGAGGGGACCAGTCCTGAGGGGACCAGTCCTGAGAGGGGACCAGTCCTGAGGGGGACCAGTCCTGAGAGGGGACCAGTCCTGAGGGGACCAGTCCTGAGAGGGGACCAGTCCTGAGAGGACCAGTCCTGAGAGGGGACCAGTCCTTAGAGAGGATCAGTCCTGAGAGGGGACCAGTCCTGAGAGGACCTGTCCTGAGAGGACTAGTCCTGACAGGTCCAGTCCTGAGAGGGGACCAGTCCTGAGAGGACCAGTCCTGAGAGGGGACCAGTCCTGAGAGGACCTGTCCTGAGAGGACTAGTCCTGACAGGTCCAGTCCTGAGAGGGGACCAGTCCTGAGAGGACCAGTCCTGAGAGGGGACCAGTCCTGAGAGGACCTGTCCTGAGAGGACCTGTCCTGAGAGGGGACCAGTCCTGAGAGAGGACCAGTCCTGAGAGAGGACCTGTCCTGAGAGGACCAGTCCTGAGAGGGGACCAGTCCTTAGAGAGGATCAGTCCTGAGAGGGGACCAGTCCTGAGAGGACCTGTCCTGAGAGGGGACCTGTCCTGATAGGGGACCTGTCCTGAGAGGACCAGTCCTGAGAGGGGACCTGTCCTGATAGGGGACCTGTCCTGAGAGACCAGTCCTGAGAGGGGACCAGTCCTGAGAGGGGATCTGTCCTGAGAGGACCAGTTCTGAGAGGGGATCAGTCCTGAGGGGACCTGTCCTGAGGGGGCCATGTTGCTCTCTGCCCTCGCGGGGCTCCCTGTGCCCCAGATGCAGAGGAGCGCTGACAGGGACCCTGAGCAAAGTTCGCGGGGGCAGCGGAGCGGGGAGCGGGCTCCGAAAGGCTGAGGGGTTGAGAGGAGTCTTCTAAGTCCCACAACCTGAGAACAGGCTTTGTTGTGAAGGCGAGGTTATCACCCCAAGGGCAGTGCCAGAGAAGGAGATGCTGGAGCTGGGCAGGGGGCCCAGGGATGGAGGAGGGGAGGGGACAGCACAGTGTGTGCTGAAGGACAGACACGCAGTCCTGTCCCTGCCTTTGGGAGGTCAGAAAAACGGGAAAAAGCCCACATCCCCCAGAGTCCAGTGCGGGCTTCACTCCGCACTCCCACTGTAGGGAGCTCAGGTTCAATCCCTGATCAGGAAACTAGATTCCACATGCTGCAATTAAAGATCGCGCAGGCCTCGACTGAGACCCAGTGCGGCCAAATAAATAAATGAATATTAAAAAAATAAATAGAGGGCTTCATTGGTGGCTCAGTGGTGAAGAGTCCGCCCTCCAACGCAGAAGACACGGGCTTGATCCTTGGTCCGAGAAGATCCCTCGGGCCGCGGAGCACCGAGGCCTGTGTGCAGCAACAACCGAGCCCAGAACTACAATGACGGAGCCCAGGACCATAACGACCAAGCACAGGACTGTAACGGCCGAGCCTTGTGCAGCAACTGCAGGAGCCTGTGCACCCTGGCGCCTGTGCTTTGCAACAGGAGAGGCCCCCGAAAAGGGAAGCCTGTGAACCGCAGCTGGAGGGTGCCCCCCACCCTGCCCCCTGCTTGCTGCAACTAGAGAAAAGCCCGTGCAGTAATGAAGACCTAGCACAGCCAAAAATAAATAAAATTTTAAAATAAATAAAAATTAAAAATATATTTAAAATAATATAATAAATAAATTCCAAGGCTTTGTGACTTGGGGGTCTTCCTTAACTTTTCCTGTGTGTGTGTGTGTGTGTGTGTGTGTGTGTGTTTTAATAATTTTATTTATAGGAATAGTTAAGGAAGACTCCCAAGTCACAAAGCCTTGGAATTTCCCTGGGAGGATGGGTATCCGTAATGTCCCAGGACATGGGGACAGGCTTGGTAGAAATGAACACTTTGAGGTTTGTGAGAACCTGGCTGAGTATACAGCAGTTCGAAGGCAGTGGAGAGGATGGGCCAGAAAAGGTCTGCGAGGTGTCTGTGCCTAAGAGCTTCACTTACGTAAGACTTAGAAAAGAGCCTAATGTCTTAGACTCTCAGACTCTCATTCTGATGATTAGACTGACAGAGCCACTCTCTCATTTCCATTGTTTCAAATTACTTATCCCACAAAGGAACACTGCCAGCAGTGGGTAATCACAGCCCTGTAACTGAATTCTATCATCTGGGGAGTTCGAAAATGTAGTGTCCTAGATCCTAACCCTGGAGAAGATTCAGTGAGTGAGACAGAGAGAGACATTTCATGTTCACCAAATATCCACCCTCTTCACCTTTCTTCTCAGCTCTTGGCAGTGGATGAGGTCATGCGACAGGTTCTTGCCGATAGACGGTGAGTCGATGTGCCAGGAGTCACCCTGATGGGCTTCACCTGCTGCATCAACAGCAAAAGGCCTCATCTCCATGGTGGAGCCACCAGTGAGAAACAACCTGCTTCCCTGAGCCCTGGTGAAAATGAGACGCCCTGGAGGACTCTCAGAGCTAGAAGGAAACCTTTCAAGGTGGACTCACTGACCGTCTAGTTTGTGTCTATTTCTGCAGCATGGTCTGGCCAGTCCTGGCTAGTACAGTCTGACTTCTGGCTGCCAGAAACCAGTTTTACAAATGTACACTGTTGGTGATTCTGGGGCAGTGGCCCACGGACCACACTTTTGACGAGTGACCACACTGACCTATTGTGATAGCATAAGTCACATGGATACCTTAGACTCTTCCTCAACACCCAGAATGTTAGGTCTTCCATAAAAGAGGTTTGGCTAGCAAAGGGTGCAGTCTTTGAAATGTTAATGATGTATGTCATTGAAGGAAGCATGATTCATTGGAGTGATTAATATATTGGTCACAGTTTGTTGAGCATTTACTATGTGCCAGGCAAAGTAGATAGGATTGTACACAGACAGAAAGTGGTACAGTAGGATTTGAGCCTACTCAATCTGTCTTATTCCAAACTTTTGCTTTGACTCATATGCTCTTAATTTGCAAACTCTACTCCCCTAACGTTTTAGAGTTAGGGTCCTGTAATTGAGGGTGACTTTAGTGCCACTTGGTGGATTGTGGCTCTGACAATAAAGAATTCTCCTGCAGTGCGGGAGACCTGAGTTCAATCCCTAGGTTGGAAAGATCCCCTGGAGAAGGAACTGGCAACTCACTCCAGGATCCTTGCCTGGAGAATCCCATGGACAGAGGAGCCTGGCGGGCTACAGTCCATGGGGTCTGTACAAGACTGAGCGACTTCACTTTCTTTAGTGCCGCCATCAGAATGACTTCCAAAGGTTGTAGTAATACTGTGTTGTCTAACATTAAATAATAAACATTTTCTTAAACCTACTTTATGATTTTCAGCTAAGCATTTTTCAGGCTTTGAAGACAGTTATCTAGCATCCTTTCAACTTCCCTAACAGTAAATGAAGGTTTTTGATTTCTGAGAGCTGCAAAGGAAGTTTGCTGTGGGGTTACAATTCGTTCTGTGGGGATCCCAGACTCTATTGAATTTGTGTATCAATAAACCAAACTGATAGCAAATAATTCCTGGATCCGTAACAGGTCTGTATGCATTGATTTTGTGTCAAAAAGTCCCAGAAATAGTCTCCAAAGAGGAAGACAAATAAGAAAGGATTTCACTTACACATGAAACCTGAACAAGCCAAGCCCAAGGAAACAGAGTATACCAGTGTCTGCCAGGAACTGGGGTGTTGTGGGGGGACGAGATGTCGATCAAAGGGCACAGCCTCCCGGTCGTGAATGTGAATGAGTTCCAGGGACTGCTGTGCGGCCTGGAGGCTGCAGTATGGTTCACAGTCCTGAGAGTCTGCCTATGAGGCAGAAGACCTGGGTTCCATCCCTGGGTTGGGAAGGTCCCCTGGAGAAGGGAACGGCAACCCACTCCAGTATGCTTGCCCAGAGAATTCCATGGACAGACGATGAGGTCACAAAGAGCTGGACACGACTGAGTGGCTCACACGCACATTGTATATTTGAAAGTTACTAAGAGGGTGGGTCTTAAATGTCCTTACCATAAATACACACACACAAACGGTAATTATGTGAGACGATTAACCTTACTGTGGTGTTTTGCAATATAAATGTGTATCAGATTATCATAGGATACCCCTTAAACGTATACATGTTGTATGTCAATTATCTTCTTTTTATTGACTTTATTTATTTTGGCTGGGTTGGGTCCTTTTGCTGCGAGTGGGCTTTCTCTGGCTGTGGTGAGAGGGGGCTCCTCTCTAGCAGCGGCTTCTCGTTGCAGGGCTTCTCGCTGTGGAAGCGTGGGCTCTGTGGCTCCCAGGCTCAGGAGTTGTGGCACTCGGGCTTAGTTGCCCCGTGGCCTGTGGGATCTTCCTAGTCCAGGGATCAAACCCATGTCCTCTGCATTGGCAGATACATTCTTAACCACTGGACCACCAGGGAAGTCCAATTATCTTTTAATAAAGCTGAAAAATGGTCTCCAGATGAACAGTCTATATAGTTCCTCCTCTCTTGATTCTCAACAGCGCAGTGTTCTCATCTACTTAAAAGTAGAACTGTCTCTCCTTGTGCTACTAGACCCAAGTCTTCTCCCAAGTCGTGTAGTTTTGCATTTTGCTCCTTCTCCTGGGAAGGTGCCAGGACAACCTGATTCAAGGACGCACAGTGAACAGCCGCAGCCACTCAGAACCAGAGCCCAACTAATCAGTGGATGGCAAAGCAGGAAGTGGAAATGTTTAAGTAATCATAACAACAACAACAGCAAAAAATACCTTTAAGGTTTTCTCAGTAAAAGAAACTGTTGTCCCAACATCCCATGGATGTACTTTTTAAACTCGGTTAAATGTCAGATCAGTTTACAGGGTCCAACACTGACGAGCATTCAAAGGGACTTTTTCTTATCAACAGAGAATCTTGTTGCAAAATCATTGTCTACAGTTGTTGGTACTCTTGTTAGAAACCTTGACTGAAAGGCCCTCTGGGTCTATTTTTCCCTTGACTTCCCTTCAGAAATGGGTAGCATGGAGGGAGACATTACTGTGGGATACCATGCCAGGGAAAATTATTTACCCTGCTGTTGCTACAAAACTTGACTAGTTGGTTGATAAAATTTAATGCCAACTCCCAGAGTAATCAAAAATTAGAAGAATGATTTAGTGCTGGCTGATTTTATTTTCTAGGTCTCCAAAATCACTGCAGACGGTGACTGCAGCCACGAAATTAAAAGATGCTTGTTCCTCTGAAGGAAAGCTATGACAAGCCTAGACAGCATATTAAAATGCAAAGAGAACATTTTGCTGACAAAGGTCCATATAGTCAAACCTGTGGTTTTTCCAGTAGTCATGTATGAATGTGAAAATTGGACCATGAAGAGGCTGAGTGCTGAAGAATCGATGCTTTCGAATTGCACTGGAGAAGACCATTGAGAGTCCCTTGGACTGCAAGGAGATCAAACCAGATAATCCTAAAGGAAATCAAGCCTGAATATTCATTGGAAGGCCTGATGCGAGGCTGACACTCCAATACTTTGGTCACCTGATGCGAAGACCCTGATGCTGGGAAAGACTGAGGGCAGGAAGAGAAGGGGGCGACAGAGGATGAGACAGTTGGATGGCATAATCGACTCAATGGACACAAGTTTGAGCAAACTCCAGGAGATAGTGAAGGACAGGAAAGCCTGGTGTGCTGCTGTCCATGGGGTCGAAAAAAGTTGGATACAACTTAGCGTCGGAACAACGACATGAAATATCAGGGCTTCTTAGGCAGCACTAAGGTTAAAGAATCTACCTGCCTGTGCAGGAGATGTGGGTTTGATCCCTGGGCTGGGAATATGCCCTGGGGAAGGAAATGGCAAACCACTCCAGTATTCTTGCCTGGAAAATCCCATGGACAGAGGAGCCTGGCAAGCTACAGTCCATGGGGTCACAAAGAGTCAGACACGACTTAGCGACTAAATAGAACAAACATAAAATATTTCCAAGTATGATTTGCTCGAGTTCCATTTTCAAACAAATGGTCCTGGAAGAAAATTAGTCCTGCTGTTCCAGAGGGTCCCATCCAGGAACCCACATCTTGCCTGCCGTGAGAAGCCACAGAGGCAGGAATTTATCCCGGGTGGAAAGTTCACTGAACATGCTGTGCTGAATATTTGAAAATTACTTGTTCCAAAAGCCCTTCAGAAACCAGTAATTCTATTAGCTTGGCTTCTGGAATGGTTTCCTACCTGCAGTAAAAAGTAATTACGACTGTCAGCCAGCAAATAATTGCTCCAATGTCTAAATGAATGGCGAGTTTTCTCTGGAAGAAATAACTGTTCCTCAGTGAGTCAGCTCAGCCCATGTCTCAGCTTCAGTTGCTGATGACCTGGGCCACCTGCCTGAACCAGAGAGGAGAGAGGAAAGGGCCTCGGGAGCTCTAATTGGTGGAAACAAGGCAGGATGGGGACTCTCCAAAGCCTATGAACTGCCAGGCTTTTGTGAGCCAGCCAAAGGCCTTCATGAAGACACGGCACCTGAGGCAGCTTTCAGGTCAAAGACTTGGTCACTGACAGGGAAACCGAGTCCCATAAAACTGAGCTCCCTTACGGAGTTTATGATTAACCTCTCCATTCAAAACCTCAGTCCCTTTCCTGTCCCCTCTGACCTCAGTCCTTTGCCAACTGAACACTTCATCAGAGTCAGATGACGAAGATCGCTGTTGTCGCTAATACTAACATAGTAAAATTGCTGTTACCCAGATCATTGCTAACTGAAAGACTTAGGGCAAGATGAGCTCGCAGATGCCTGAACCATGGATCATCTGGCCAGAGAATCGCAAACAGAGACATCCTGACTCCCGAAACGACGATTAGGAAATGTCACAGAAATGTCGCAAGAAGATGATTAATCCCATCTTCTTTGTTCTTCCCCTAGAACACAGTCCTGACTCAGAGACCAAGATGGAGTGGATCTGAGATTGATTTCCTACTCCCTTGCCTGGTGGTGGTTTAGTCGCTCAATCTTGTCTGACTCTGTGTGACCCCCTGGACTGTAGCCCACCAGACTGCTCTGTCAGTGGGATTTCCCAGACAAGAATACTGGAGTAGGTTGATATTTCCTTCTCCAGGGGATCTTCCCGACCCAGGGATCAAACCCGGATCTCCTACCTTGCAGGCGGATTCTTTATCCACTGAGCCACCAGAGAAGCCCTTGATGCACGTAAATGCTGACGCTGCTGTAAACACCTGCTGTCGGAGTTCAGCTTTCTGTGCTGTGGGCCTTGCTCTAGAACAGCATCAAAAACTGCTGTCGCTCCGGCCTCCTCCTCCCATCCTTTGCCAGGCTCACTGCATTTTCAAGGGAGTCTAGTAGACAGGAGTCCCTGTGCCCACAGCCGGATGATGATGGCAAGGGGCATCCAAGACCATTTCCAGAGGAAAGCAATGGAAAGGTCTGGCAGGGGCAGGAGGTCACTTTGTGAAAGGAAAACTTCCGGTCGACTGGAGCCAGGTTTCCTGATCATCCTCAAAGGTCCAGGTGCTCAGGAGTCCTGAGCACCACACTCTCACTTCCCGAGCGGCCGGCTCCCCCACTGTCACTGTCAGCTGGCCGCACGGGGATTCAGCACTCGTCCTCTGGACTGGGGCTAGGTCAGGGTGCGGGCCCAGCTCTTGGATCTTCCAGGCGTCTGCCTCGTCACGTGTGAGACGAGAAGAGCCGTGATGGCCGAGGGCTCCTACTTGGAATTTCTCGAGATGTGGGGCAGAGCTGGGCGGTGTGGTCTGAACACTGATGGGCTGCTATGGAAGCCAGCTTTGGGGCTGAGGGTGTTTCAAGGACTCCCGGGATTTCCTGGTGGTCCACTGGCTAAGGCTCCGTGCTGCCAGTGCTGGGGGAACCGGGTTCCATCTCTCAAGAACTAGATCTCGCCTGTCGCAACTAAGAGTTCGCGTGCCCCAACTAAAAGGTCCTGCTTGCCCCGAGTAAGACCCGGCGCAGCCAAATACATAAATATTTGTTTAAAAATAAATAAACAAAAATAAAGAGCTCGGGCTTCCCTGGTGGTGTGGTGGATGAGACTCTGCCTGCCAACGCAGGGGACGTGAGTTTGACCTCGGGTCTGGGAAGGTCCCAGCCAGCCTGTGAGTGACAGCCACGGACCCTGCGCTCTGGAGCCTGGGAACCCCAACCTCCTGAGCCCCTGCGCTCTGGAGCCTGGGAACCCCAACCTCCTGAGCCCCGGAGCCAGGACTCCTGAAGCCTGTACTCCTAGAGCCCGCGCTCACAGCACGAGGAGACGCCGCAGTGAGAAGCCCGTGCAAGCCTGCGCACAGCAACCAAGACCCAGAGCCGCCCAGTCAACAAGCAAATACGCCTAAAAAACAAATAAATAAAGATCAGGGGCTCCTGTGCGTGGCGGTCCAAAGAGCACAGCGAAGCCCTGGGGGGCGGGCGGGGAGTCCCGAACCTGCTGTCAGGTTGGTGGCCGCTCGGTGATCAGGGAGAAGCAGCCTAGGGGTGGCTCTGTGCCTCGAGGCCGGGACCCCGGTCAGCTGCAGCTGACCGACGCGCCCAGCCCCGGCTCCGCCCGGTGTCCCTCCGCAGATGAAGACGGAGCGCTGGTGGAACGCGGTATCGCCCGGAGCCTTGAGGAGGCCCAGCCCCGCCTGCTGCGCCGCCCGCTCCCTGCTCGTTCTGCCGGTGCACTGACACCTCCTGGGGCAGCTCCCAGCTGCCTGCCTCAGTAGCAGCCTCTTCGGCTGTGCGCCGGCCCGTTTCTTGTTCTCTCTGCGGCCCTAGTTTAATATTAATATTGACTCATAATATTAAACACCTAGCTTAACTGCGGACACAGTTTCTCCTTAGAGACCAACAGTAATGGTTCAGAATGTGTTGCTAGGAAGACGTGAATTCTTTCCTAAATAATTATGCCTGGGGTGAGTTGCATAGGTAACAGTAATAAGGAAACGCCTGTGATACTGAGTTACTAATCATTAACGCAAAGTGTACTTTTCCTCTCTCTACTGTAGGTTGACTTTATCATCATATCCCTGAAAAAGGTTAATAGAAAGATGTATATTTAATAGACACCTATTAAAGATGTCATTTGACTTTTTGTTCACCGCTTTAAACCACTTTCAACTCCAGTGCTTTTCTAAATTATAATTTCTGAGGCAAAGACTAGGGAAATAATTCAGGTACTCTTTGCAAAGTACTTTGTTCACAGTATTTTGCAGGCAAGTCTTAACCGTGTGAAGCTCCCATGCCCCCATCAGATGTCTTGCGTCAAATGGAACATTGCACATTTGTTCTGTAAGGGTTCAGGTGGGCTCTTTGCAGAGCCCGAGCCCGGCCCCCGAGTGCTGCAGACACTGAGCTTAGACACTTGGCTATTTTCGCTCGTGTTTACCTTGGAGAGCTCTTTCATTCGCAAGGTTGGAACCTTGGAGAGCTCTTCCTTTTTCAAGGTTTTCAACTCCATGGAGACGTTTCCAGTCCTGTAGACCCCAGGGCCCACATGTTGTGTCTTTGGCTGGTCCTTGAACTGTGGGGTGGGGATGGGTGTGGGGAGAGACAGGGGATGCGTTCTAGGTGGGGAAGCAGCTAGTTGGGAATAAGAGGGCTGTGGTGGAAGCGCTGAGTGGCCCCTGTGGGCTGGGGGACGGGAGGGAATCAAGGATGCTGACCCTCGCGTTCCACTGACGGCCAGTGGAGCGGTGTCAGTGAGCAGAACGGACCGGAAGGACAGCGAGGCCAGGGGGTCAGCCCAGAGGCTGCTCGACTGTTGCAAGTATAACTTAAGGAGGATATCGATTAAAATGACAGGCCATTTCCAGCCCTGTGGATCAGAGGGGCATGAATCCTTTGAGAACATAATGAAAACCATGGGTGACTCCCAGAAAAATATTCACCCATGTACCAAGTGTGCTGTGTGACCTTGGAGGGCTGGTTCATGGATTCCAGTAGGGGATTTGGGATCCCCCAATACAGGAATGTTTGCAGTGTTATTGGTCGGAGTCAGCAGGGAGACTCTGGGAAAGAAGGAAACACATTTTCAGACAACGGGACAGGAGAGTGAGGTGTGCTCGGGACACCTGACACCTGTCTGGTGCTGTGGGGAAAGGCCAGGCAGCCTGGCTGGAGGTGAAGACCTGAGGCATTTGATTCCATTACAAAGAGTTTACATTTTGAGAATGAACAGGTTCCCTGAATTAACAATAAGCAGAAAGCAATCGAGTATTTCCCAATATAAATGCTAGAGGCAATATTTATGCAGGTGACCCTCCTAGAGGAGTTTGCAATCGCTGTGATAAAAGTCACACACAAAGAAATAGACACTAAGTGAATCCTTAAGTAAGTGCGTTCATTCATATTCATAATGAAGCTTAAAAATTAAATGTAAGATGAAAGCTAAAGATCAGGATAAAAGCTGACCATCTGAAATCATAGTTACTAAGATAAGCTTAAGGTGAACCGGCACATCAGGAGGTCTCAGGCTGTCAACGCTGCTTTCACGGCGTCTGCAAGGGAAGGGGCGGCAGGTCAGCTCAGCAGCCCTCTGCCGTCCCGGCTTCTCTGCTGACGTCACCCCCAGTTGGCAGCTGGGGCAGCAGCATCTTTTGACCCCGTCTCCTGCAGTCCAGGTGGGGCATTTTGGGGACTGACCTCTTGGGAGCAAACATGTAGCAGTAAGCTGCTCGCCCGGAAGAGATAAGGGGAAATGATGTGATTAGTTCCCCAAATATCCAGGACTGCTGTCCACTCTCTGCAAGAAATCACAACTCTGACATTTGGTTGGGGAATTCACCACTTCTCCTAACTGGGTCCAAAGTGAGCCACCTGTCTCGGAGACTAAGGGTGGGACATATCCCTGAATCTTCCCTCAGTCACCCTCCCAGGCTGTTGCCACCTTCTTGCAGGGTCTGGAGGTCACCAGGCAGGCTGTGCAGGGCCCTGAGTAGGTCTAGGGTGGAGCTGACCACAGTATATCCACAAGTCACCCAAGCTGGAGATGAAAGAGTTGCGACTTTCTAGGTACCTTTATGGAGAAGGCAATGGCACCCCACTCCAGTACTCTTGCCTGGAAAATCCCATGGATGGAGGAGCCTGGTAGGCTGCGGTCCATGGGGTTGCTAAGAGTCAGACACAACTTCACTTTCACTTTTCACTTTCACACATTGGAGAAGAAATGGCAACCCACTCCAGTGTTCTTGCCTGGAGAATCCCAGGGATGGGGGAGCCTGGTGGGCTGCCGTCTATGGGGTCACGCAAGGTCGGACACGACTGAAGTGACTTAGCAGCAGCAGCAGCAGGTACCTTTAACCTCTGTTCACTACAACCTATGCTGGGTCTTTTCTTTCTTTTTTTTTTTTCATTTATTTTTATTAGTTGGAGGCTAATTACTTTACAACATTGCAGTGGTTTTTGTCATACATTGACATGAATCAGCCATGGATTTACATGTATTCCCCATCCCGGTCCCCCCTCCCACCTCCCTCTCCACCCAATCCCTCTGGGTCTTCCCAGTGCACCAGGCCCAAGCACTTGTCTCATGCATCCAACCTGGGCTGGTGATCTGTTTCACCCTAGATAATATACATGTTTCGATGTTGTTCTCTTGAGACATCCCACCCTCGCCTTCTCCCACAGAGTCCACAAGTTTGTTCTATACATCTGAGCCTCTTTTTCTTTTTTTGCATATAGGGTTATCGTTACCATCTTTCTAAATTCCATATATATGTGTTAGTATACTGTAATGGTCTTTATCTTTCTGGCTTACTTCACTCTGTATAATGGGCTCCAGTTTCATCCATCTCATTAGAACTGATTCAAATGAATTCTTTTTAATGGCTGAGTAATATTCCATGGTGTATATGTACCACAGCTTCCTCATCCATTCGTCTGCTGATGGGCATCTAGGTTGCTTCCATGTCCTGGCTATTATAAACAGTGCTGCGATGAACATTGGGGTGCACGTGTCTCTTTCAGATCTGGTTTCCTCGGTGTGTATGCCCAGAAGTGGGATTGCTGGGTCATATGGCAGTTCCATTTCCAGCTTTTTAAGAAATCTCCACACTGTTTTCCATAGCGGCTGTACTAGTTTGCATTCCCACCAACAGTGTAAGAGGGTTCCCTTTTCTCCACACCCTCTCCAGCATTTATTGCCTGTAGTCTCTTGGATAGCAGCCATCCTGACTGGCGTGTAATGGTACCTCGTTGTGGTTTTGATTTTATGCTGGGTCTTTTCATCCAGGCTCTTCAGATAACCCAAGAGCAGAGACTTTAAAACGAATTTCCTGGGTACTTCTAGGCAGTGATTTACTTGCGAAGATACTTGTGCCACTTTCCAGGGGCTGCGTCACTTTTAGGACCCATTTGGTGGTTATGGCACAGAAAGTCTAATAGCTCTTCTGCTCCTCACAGCTTGCAACAAATGGATCCTGTGGCTTGTTTTTACAGCACTTATCTCTGATCAGAGAACAGCGGATGACAAGAGAGGTGACTCAAGCCAGGGATTCCAGTGTCTGGTCATGTTAATGGATGAACCATCTTATCAGATGAACAGTAACTGTACAACCTTCATATGAAAAGACCCTGATGCTGGGAAAGATTGAAGGCAGGAGGAGAAGGGGACGGCAGAGGATGAGATGGCTGGATGGCATCACTGACTCAATGGACATGAGTTTGACTAAACTCCGGGAGTTGGTGATGGACAGGGAGGCCTGGCGTGCTGCAGTCCATGGGGTCGCAAAGAACTGGACACGACTGAGCGACTGAGCTGAACTGAATTGAACTGAATGTTTGGAGTGATGACTCTGAGATGCATACCATGCTGCTTTACTGAGGAAGGATCAGGTAAGAAGTCCATCAGGTCTTATAAACGTTATTTACAAGAGTTGATCTAGGGCTTCCCTGGTGGTCCAGTGATAAGCGTCTGCCTTGCGACGTAGGGTACGCTGGTTCGCGTTCTCGGCCAGGAAGGTCCTGCATGTGGTGGGGCAACTAAGCCCGTGAGCCACGACACGTGAGCCTGCTCCTTGGAGCCTGCGCGCCACAGCCGCCGACTGCCTCGTGCCCGAGAGCCTGCGCTCTGTGAAAAGAGAAGGCCCCGCCGGGAGGGGCCGTCCACCGTAACCAGAGAGCTGCCCCTGTGCAGCCAGGAGACATGCTTATAATAGACTCCTGTGCTAAAGAGAGCTGATATAAAGCAAGGCTCTCTCCTTGGCTCAGAAGCAAGCTCTCCTGGACTGCCTTGCTCTTCGCAGCTGGAGGAAGCAGGGCCGGCACGTGCGGCCCTGTCCGGGGTAAGGAGCTGCGGGAGGGGTTGAGGCCTCATCAGAGGGCTGCTTCAAATCAAGGAGGAGGCGGAAGGCGGTGGCCGCCAGGGAGGCCACCCTGAGCGCCGGTGCAAGGGCCTATGCTCCGCTCAGTCGTGTCTGCCTCTGTGTGACCCCACGGGCTGTAGCCCACCAGGCACCCCTGTCCGTGGGACTCTCCAGGCAAGAATCCTGGAGTGGGCTGCCCTGCCCTCCTCCGGGGGATCTTCCCCACCCAGGGACCGAACCTGGGTCAGGAAAGATTGTAAGCAGGGAACAGGATTGGGGAAAAGAAAGGAGGGGTCATGAGACTTCCCTGGCAGCCAGGTAGTTAAGACTCCATGCTCCTGATGCAGGGGGCACGGGTTCAGTCCCTAGTTGGGAAACTGAGATCCCGAATGTAGCAGAGCACAGCCTGAAGAAAAGTGGCAGACAGCAGGGGCTGGAGGTGGTCAGGCCAGGTGGATGCTTGTGCGACAGATAGTGACTGGGGACCAGCCCTGTGCCCAAGGAGGTGATGGCTTTGCAGGGGCGCCTGTTCTAATTGGAGCTGACCAAAGGACTGAGGGCAGATTCACCAGCTAAGAGATGCCAGAACTGAAGGAAGAAAATTCTAGAAAACAGAGGTTATGTTTTTGAGACAGGAATAAAATTCCTAACACCAGAGCTTGAAGTCTCCTGTGTGCACTGGACCTTTGCATCAGGTGGTCAGAGTAGTGGAGCTTCAGCTTCAGCATCAGTCCTTCCAATGAACACTCAGGACTGATCTCCTTTAGGATGCACTGATTGGATCTCCGTGCAGTCCAAGGGACTCTCAGGAGTTTTCTCCAACACCACAGTTCAAAGGCATCAGTTCTTCAGCGCTCAGCTTTCTTCACAGTCCAACTCTCACATCCATACGTGACTACTGGAAAAACCATTCCTTTGACTAGACGGAGCTTTGTTGGCAAAGTAATGTCTCTGCTTTTTAATATGCTGTCTAGTTGGTCATAACTTTCCTTCCAAGGAGTAAGTGTCTTTTTATTTCATGGCTGCAGTCACCATCGCAGTGATTTTAGAAACCAAGAAAAAGAAGTCTCTCACTGTTTCCATAGTTTTCCTATCTATTTGCCATGAGGTGATGGGACCAGATGCCATGATCTTGTTTTTTGAATGTTGAGTTTTAAGCCAACTTTTTCACTCTCCTCTTTCACTTTCATCAAGAGGCTCTTTGGTTCCTCTTAGCTTTCTTCTATAAGGGTGGTGTCATCTGCATATCTGAGGTTATTGATATTTCTCCCGGCAATCTTGATTCCAGCTTGTGCTTCAGGCATCCTGGCATTTCTCATGATGTAGTCTGCATATAAGTTAAATAAGCAGGGTGACAATATACAGCCTTGATGTACTCCTTTCCCAATTTGGAACCAGTCTGTTATTCCATGTCCGGGTCTAATTTTGCTTCTTCACCTGCATACAGGTTTCTCAGGAGGCAGGTAAGATGGTCTCGTATTCCCATCTCTTCAAGAATTTTCCACAGTTTGTTGTGATCCACACAGTCAAAGACTTTAGCATAGTCAGTGAAGCACTAGTAGATGCTTTTCTGGAACTCTCTTGCTTTCTATGATCCAACGGATGTTGGCAATTTAGTCTCTGGTTCTTCTGCCTTTTCTAAATCCATCTTGAACATGTGGACGCTCTCAGTTCACGTACTGTTGAAGCCTGGCTTGGAGAATTTTGAACATTATTTTGCTAGCGTGTAAGACGAGTGCAATTGTGTGGCAGTTTGAGCATCTGTGGCATTGCCTTTTTTGGGGATTAGAATGAAAACTGACCTTTTCCAGTGCTGTGGCCACTGCTGAGTTTTCCAAATTTGCTGGCATATTGAGTGCAGCACTTTCACAGCATCATCTTTTAGGATTTGAAATAGCTCAACTGGAACTCCATCACCTCCACTAGCTTTGTTCTTGGTGATGCTTCCTAAGGCCCACTTGACTTCACATTCCAGGATGTCTGGCTCCAGGTGAGTGATCACACCATCATGATTATCTGGGTCGTAAAGATCTTTTTTGTACAGTTCTTCTGTGTATTCTTGCCACCTCTTCTTAATATCTTCTGCTTCTGTGAGGTCCATGCCATTTCTGTCCTTCACTGAGCCCATCGTTGCCTGACATGTTCCCGTGGTGTCTCTCATTTTCTTGAGGAGACCTCTGTGTGCCGTGTTTACTCACTCACTTGTGTACGAGTCTGTGACCCCATGGACTGTAGCCTGTCAGGCTCCTCTGTCCACGGGGATTCTCCTGGCCAGAATGGAATGGATTCCCATGCCCCCCTCCAGGGGATCTTCCCAACCCAGGGATCGAACCCAGGTCTCCCGCATCGCAGGCGGATTCTTTACCCTCTGAGCCATCAGGGAAGCCCTGAAGCGATCCCTAGTGAAGGTTTATTAGTTTGAGCTAATACACAGCTACCCTTCATCATGCTCAGGCTTCCTTCTGGTGTTTCATGTGGTTTGGTCTCAAATTGCCTGAGTAACCCAGGGGCAGCCCGGCCTTCTGGGGTGTTAGTGGGTAGCGCCTTGTGGTCAGGCCCGTTTTTTCTGAGGCACTAACAGGTCTGTCCTTCCTGCCTGTGTTCTTCCTTTTGAAGTGAACCCTTCACGCCAGGTGAAGAGCTTCCCTTCCTATTGGCACATGCCAAGTTCCTGTGGGTGTGGATGCCTGGGCGAGTGGGCCAAGCTGGCTGAGGAGGCTGGGCCCCGGGTGGGACGGCTTGTCGGGGCTCCGTCTGGGCTCCCACTGAGCCCGTCCGCTGCTTCTGTCGCCTCACCAACAGCTTCTCTGGGTTCCCCACTGGGCACTCACTCTTCCGTGACTGTGGGAGCCGAGCCTCACCTCGCCTCACCTCCCTGTGAGTTTGCTCGCCGGGGCCATGTTCCACACAGATGCGCCTCCTGGCAATGACACAGGACTTTCAAGAGACTAAAAAAAAAAACAAACCAGCTCTGGAGGACTGTCATCTCTGTGTTCTGTTCCCTCAGCTCTTGGAGCCCAAGGCAGGGCTAGGAATCCTGTCAGTGCTTATGAAAGAAAGATGGAAAGAAGTCAAATGCATGGTCATGGTTAGGTGTTGGTGCAAAGCATAGCCACCACTTCTGGCAGTTCCAAACACTGATAAGAAGATATGACATGTCAGGACTTTCAAAATCTCAGCTGCCACTTGCTCATACACTAAATCCTAGAAATTCTTGCTTTTTAGTTTTGTGGACAACGATGGTTTGTCATGAACGTTTGCAGTGACTCAAGGGCGGGAGATCAGGCTTTCCTGAACCTTCTGTTTCTCAAAGACTCAGTTCTGCAAGGTCATTCACAAGCCAACCAACATGGAGTTCAGTGTTCCTGGCTGGCATATTAGAGATGTTAATTTAGTCTTCTGTCTTTATTACATGATCCCATTTAAAAGAAAAACTCCCTTAGTACCTTTCATCTGATTGCTCAGGGTCTCATGCCATGATGCATAAAGTTTTACAGTAATTGAAAAATCAATGAACAACACCCCAGGCAGTAAATAAATCACAAAGTTCATTAATTCAAAACACTGAACATCAACTTGTAGAACACTACAACACAGTGTAAAATAACATTACCTAAAGTGTAAAAATGGGAAAGTGGGAATTAATTTTATTTTAATTTTTAATGTACTTTCGACTGCTCAAAAGATATTAAACATTAACATAATTCAGTATATATGCTGGCATTTATTAAACCACTGATTCATGAACAAATTAAGCAACACATATTTTTTTAAGTATTAAAGATTCAATAGTGATAATTAACTTGAATGTCAAAGTGGAAAATATTATCAGCACATTCTGCAGAATTCCCCAAAGATTATGCAACCCATATGCTGAAGAATTGTGAAAGCTTGCGATCAGCTACTTGATAATCCCAAGAGATGTTGAAAGACATTATGCTTTCGCTTGTTCCAATAAATCAGTTAGTTAAATATTTGAGGATAGTGAAAAATCAGGAAATGAGCTTCCATCCTTGATGCCACCTTTCAGCCTAACAGAGAAAGACCTGTTTCTTCTGTTTAGGCAAATCAAGCTGTATCGTGAAGGTTCTGGCTACGACATAACCATCAACCATGCAGAAGAGAGGCACACTAGAGTGTTGCTTAGTCTGAAGGCCATCACACTAGTGACATTTCCTCATGAGGTCTTTAAACTTGAGGGACCTAGTCATGTGTGGATGTGAGAGTTGGACTAAAGAAAGCTGAGTGCCGAAGAACTGACGCCTTTGAACTGTGGTGTTGGAGAAGACTCCTGAGAGTCCCTTGGACTGCAAGGAGATCCAACCAGTCCATCCTAAAGGAGATCAGTCCTGGGTGTTCATTGGAAGGACTGATGCTGAAGCTGAAACTCCAGTACTTTGGCCACCTGATGTGAAGAGCTGACTCATTGGAAAAGTCCCTCATGCTGGGAAAGATTGAGGGCAGGGGGAGAAGCGGACGACATTGGATGAGATGGTTGGATGGCATCACCAACTCAATGGGCATGAGTTTGGGTGGACTCCGGGAGTTGGTGATGGACAGGGAGGCCTGGTGTGCTGCAGTTCATGGGGTCACAAAGAGTTGGGCATGACTGAGTGACTGAACTGAACTGAACCTTGTATTTTGGTTCTTTAAGTACAAAAACTACCTCAAAATTAGTAGAAAATTGGGATGATTTTTTCACTAAAAAGAAAGAACTGTCACTCTGGGGACTGAATTAGTGGATAAACCATACAGGGATTAAACCAACATATGCTGTTGTGTTGGTTCTTTGTCCTGGTTGTGAGAGTGAATTTATTTGTGAAACTCCATTTAGTTGGTGTTGGAATTGTGCAGAGGAATCCACATTACTAAAAAAGAATCTATTGCCTTTGAAGTTTGTCAGCATATTTGTCTACTCTAACAGGGCTTTTTGGTTTAAATTATTTAGTTTGACAGGCTACAGTAATCAAATTAAGCACATGACTTCCAGTGTCAACTAAACGCACCTATGAGTTCCATTGGTTAATTAACTTTTTAAAGATTTATTTATTTTTCGTTGCACGAGGTCTTCATTGGTGCACAAAGGCTTCCTCTAGTTGCAGCAAACGGGGCTACTCTAGAGTTGCGGTGTGTGGCTTCCCTTGTTGCAGAGCAGACTCTAGGCACGCAGGCTTCAGTAACTGTGGGCTGTGGGCTCAGAAGTTGTAGCCCACGGGCTCTGTTATTCTGAGGCATGTGGGATCTGCCCGGATCAGGGATCAACCCTGAGTCCCCTGCATTGACAGGCAGACTCCCCACCACTGGACCACCAGGCAAACCCTAATGAACTTTTTTAATGTTCATAATTTTTTTGCAAATGAATCACTTCCACTCAAGACTGTAATCTGCCTCGCATCAGGGCCTCTGTGTGCGCGCAGCCTGTAGAGTCACTTCGGCTCACAATTCGCAATTATTTATGCAAAAAATTAGCAGTCAGCATTTGCCATTTCTTTAAATAATCCTGGGAGAAATAAATTTAGGACTGATCTGTTCTTTCAAAAATAACTTTTTTTCTCCTTTATCATAAAGGTTAAGATATTCATTATATATAAAAAGATATTCATTATATATCATTCATAAAAATATAAAATTGAATATGTATTTTTTCAGAACTCTACTCTCCAGATGTCACTTTATTTACCTTGGAGTGCATAAGCTTTGTTTTTCAAATATACACAGATGTTTTTGCAAAAGTGTGATCATACTATGCCTATTGTTTTAAAACTTGTTAAGTAACAAGTCATAGGGAATACCCTGGCAGTCCAGTGGTTAAGACTTCCAGGTTTCACTGCCGAGGGCTTCGATTCAATCCCTGGTTAGGGAACTAAGATCCTACAAGCTGCAGGATGCGGCCAAAAAAATAACCAAAAAACAAAAAACAACCATGTCATATATCATGGCAGCTTTCCATGTTAATAAATATAAACTGACTTCATGACTTGTGCGGCTGTGTAATATTTTACTTTCTGTACCATTAGGTTCTTTACGCTTTTTCACTATTTGGCTCAGATGGTAAAGAATCCACCTATAATGCAGGAGACCCGAGTTCAATCCCTGGGTGGAGAAGATCCCCTGGAGAAGGGAATGGCAACCCCCTCCAGTATTCTTGCCTGGAGAACCCCGTGGACAGAGGAGCCTGGTGGGCTACAGACCATGGGGTCACAAAGAGTCAGAGGCAACACTTTCACACTTTTCAAATCCATATGTTGAAGTCTTAACCCCCAATATGACTGTATTTGGAAACAGGGCTTTAAGAGTACTTCAGGCTGAATAAGGGTGGAGCCTTAATCTAATGACCGGTGTCCTTGCAGGGAGAGGAGACAATGTCAGAGCAAAGCCCACTCGAGGACACAGGCAGAAGGCGGCCGCCTGCGGCCCCGGAGGCCTCCAGAGACCCGCCCTGCTGGAACCGTGACCTGAAGCACACGTTAGATAAACTGTAAGATAAGTTTCTTGAAAAGGGCTAGTTCAAAAATATTCCCTTCAGCATCTCCTCTTCCCATCAACCTGCCTCTATTTTCTTTGCTCCTATTACTCTTTTACACGTGTTATACCAAATTCCTATCTAGAGGATTTCTACCGAGGTATCTTACCACCATTGGCACATAGTAATGTCTGCTCTCTGCACAACCCGGTATTTTCAGGCTTAATATCTTCACCATCATTTATTGAGATGAAATTTGCATTTCTTTGACTGTTAATAAGAACACTATCTTCCCACATGAGAAAAGCTTCTTCTTGTGAATTGCATTTTCATGTTCCCATTTTATCAGGGAAGTCACATTTTTCTCATTCATTTATAAGCGCTACTTATATGTCTTAGGGATATTGGTCAGATGACCTAGGCTTTGCTCTGTCTTGTCGGCTACACCACAAGGCTTGTGGGATCTTAGTTCCCCAAACAGGGATCAAATCCGAGCCCCCTGTAGTAGAAGCGTGGAGTCCAAAGCCCTGGACTGCAGAAGAATTCCCTTAATGTAGGTTGCTTTTTGTTTTGTTGTTGATTTAAATTTTACCTTTGTTTTTGACAGTTTTCTATAATTCAGAATTTTAAAAATTTAACCTAATCAAAAATCTATGAGCATTTTCCTTTTAGAACTTCTAACTTTGGTGTCATGTTTAGAAAGATCTCATTTGACTCAAGATTTTTAAAATACTGTTTTCTTATAGTTTTTCATGTGCTTTAAAAATACTTAATCTTTGATCCAACTAGAATTTGTCAATAAGAAAAACTAGGGATATGACATAATTTTTCCTCCAAATTAAAATTTATTTCTGATCATTTCTTGAATAACCCATACTCTCTTCACTGATTTGGAATACCATACTTATAACAGATCATATTCTGTTTCTGTACTCTCTGTTCTATTCTGTATATGTAATTTTAAACCAGTGTTATGCCATTTAATTTACAATGGATTATTGTAGACTTTTGTGGACCATTTTAAATCTGGTAGGGCAAGCTGAGTGAAAATGGAAATACTCGAGTATTTTCATTTAAATGGCATTCTCAGGTCCTAGTACAGGGATAAGAACAGTAGTTTGAACAGGATGAGGAAGGGTGTTGCTATTGCCGACGGGGTCTTTAATTCCATCTCTGCTGCAGTTATACTGAAAAAATGTTTCATTGTCCCACCATGTCATCTTACAAGCATTATCTATCTGCTAAGTATTGTGTTCCCCTTCTGAGTTATGAGATCCTTGAAGGCATCTTGAATGATATTTCCCTCACTTGGAATGAAAGTTTATCATCAGCATAGAGCGTAGTACTTAGCATGCAGTTAAGATATTCTTGCTTTTTATTTTTTTTTAAATAAAAAACAACGAGCTATTTTTTG